TAGACCCATCGATACCATATCACTTGAACTCCAACGGGCTCATTCTATTGGAATTTATCAGATTTGGTTATAGTGACCCGTATGTACAAGTACAAGTACGCAGACAAGTACACGTACTGTACCTCTTGGATTTTGTGAGGTTCAGTATGCTTTCTATTGCAAGAGCCTAGGGGGTTAGGGTTAAAGATGATGTAAGGAAATAAACATAAAAATATGGTAAAGCGGAACGTCAAACACCGCTATAACGAACATTCGGCTGTACCAAACATCGTCCTTGACTCCCAATATTTTGTGCACAAAAGCTACCAAACATTTTGCCGTTGCAAATCAACCGAGATTCGCCACAAGCATGCATCAGAGATCGATCCTGAGCAGTAGCTTCACGACAACTAAATATCAATTTTGTAACTCAAGATTTAATAACAAAAACAAAATTCTTTAGATACATTTCAAGAAACCTCAAACGTGAATGCAACGGCAAAACATCACGAAAACAGCAAATCATAGTATCACAAGAGGGTGCACTTCAGTAAGACAAGAAAGGGCGCTATTCAACATGGCAACGAAACGTTCGGCAGTTAATTTTGCTATACCTAACGACCACTGTGCCGAACATTTAGTGTGGACCCAGTCTTGTTCGTTATAGTGGCGTTCCACTGTAGAGTTGTTTGATTGGATAGTGTGATCAAGAACATACCAGTACCAGACTGGATCTGCATTTCTTGTATTTCTCTAATTGGCCCGGGGAGACGGAGCCCTTGACCAGCGAGAACTTCTTCCTCCGTCTGACGTGAAGTTTGATTGGTTTGGACGACATCTGGCCCATCATTAAAATGTGGGGAAACAACTTCTCCTTGCCACCAGTCCGACTTTGGCCGGTGGAACAATCGGCGACCAGAAGCTTAGAGTTTGAATCTTATCAAAGTGGAATATGCCTGAGGATGACAGAACACCATGCCTATGCCAACCACGGTTATAAGGTTCACATCCAACCTATGTCTAAAAAAAAAAGGTGCCGGCCTTTTTACCTGTCTCCAAAGGAACTGGTATTGGCCTTTTTTTATCAGTAATAAGAGCCACTGCAATGTCTTGTTCGACGGAACGAGAATCCAGTATTTGCAGTGAGTGAAATAGTTCAGAGTCGCTTCAAATGTCCTCAGGAGATCATCGTTCATCCGACTGCAAAATGTCCTCGGGAGGTCAACTGTTCATCCAATTGCGCCATGCATATACATGTATACATGTATTTCCATGTGCTTCAGAATGCACGAAACAGCATCTGCAGACGGGTGGGTTCGATTCCACTCAAAAGTTCAAACAGTGAGCCAGAGAGTTCACCTCCAACAAGTGAATCAGTCTGCCGCTCTGACGTTCCGTTGTGTCAGACTCACATGAAACAACTCCACCTCAGCTTTCAGGCCAAAAGCCTAATGTCCTCTCTCCGTTCCAGTGTAACTCCAGACACTTAAGAGGACACTGTGATGTACCTTCCCCCTTCTTCACTATTTACATCAAGCCAGGTTGAGCTTTTTCATCAAAGTCAGTCACTCGCGACGAACACCTGGCACCGACATCCAGTTTCGAGAATATCCTGAACTTCGTTTTCGCAGCCTTCTACCAGAAAGTTGTCAAGATTCTGTAAACTGTCTTGGCATCTTCACTTCATCCTCACATCGATTTGGCATCTGGTGGCGGCTTCCCTGCTGATCAAGTCAGACCAGGAAACGTCTGAGCAATTCAGACAGTCTGGCAGTTGGTCATGTTTGGTTCCTGAGCTGGGTTCCAGGCCAGGTTTGTGATCCTCATAAACCACCACTGTCCAGGTGGGAATTACACGTACCCTGACAAAGTTCATCAGCACTGTGCGGCTTAGATCAGCCCACTTCCTGTATCAGTTCCGCATTAAGGTCAGCGTCACATCCATTAAGTCTGGAGTTTTAAAAGCCAAGAAAGCCCACAACATCTTCAATTTGCACGGGGCTGCGTCTTGTTACCTGTCTTGTTTCCTCTTCCGCATGAAGCACCTGAAGAGAGACACCAGTCCAAGTCCTGGATTACATGGACTCCTTATTCTTCCAGGAGCCAGTCACGGCTGATCACGGCCTCCTGGAGGGACAGACTGGAGTGAGTCGTCAGGATGCACTTCAAATACCGTCATCCCCATTCACTGGATCACTTCCTGCACATTTCTGCTACTTATACATGTACGTGTAAATCCTTGACGATTCTCTTCCAGTGGCCACAGTGATTCAGACTCACTTGCACCATGACTGGTACAGCCTGCTTGTTTACTCCTGGCAAATCACGGATGAGCTTCAAATCGGACACAGTTAAGAACAGCCGAGGAGGATGTCGACATTGAACTGGACACTGAATGTGCATTTGTAAGCGACACTTCCAACTGGTAAGATTTGGCAGAAGCTTGTACAACTCTAGGAACAGTTCTCGTAACAGTTTGTCCCTAGCACTAAGGGCCTACGTGTACATTGTACCGGTATGTTACACATTTTCATGTACAGAGCATACGCACTATGCAAACTGTCTGGAGCCCAATTTTGCTCCAACTTGGGCACCACGTGCAAAAATCCATCTTTTGGCTGGGGCTTTCCACTCTTTCTGTGGACCCCGCAGCCACAGCCTCAACAAAAGTCTCAAAGCCGATGTGGCTCAATCTCACTGACAACAAAGACAATGTCACAAGATGGCACTCAAATGGGCTACACAGGGGGCTGAATTGGGCTCCAAGGCTAGGCATTTTTGTCACGGCCGGCTAATTGGTTCTTTCCTACAAGTGTTGCATCACCTCGCAGCCGGTCTCTGCACCAGTGAAACTAATTAACAAGTCAATAACTCAGCTTCGGTAACGCCCACTGACAGGCTTTAAAAATAAGCTGATCTTTATCAGCGCTTTTTAAGTGGCTCAACATCTAAAACCCAGACATGCAAGAAGAGACAAGAGGGGACCATTTTTTTTTAGGGGACAATGCAGAGAAAAGATATGGCACCCACACAAAATCAACCAAACTGGAAATGGAGGGGAAGAAAGCCTACAGCGCCTAGGAGTTGGATTAGATCTGGGGCCTCAGCAATCAGCCCAGACTCGGAACTAAAGGTACAGGTGCGGCACATGAGTGTATAGTTGGTGGAATTTTGTTTTTGTGGGATCCTGAAGGAAAACAAAAAGCAGCTGCTAAATTTTTTCTCTAAGTGAGGTTTGCGACTCAATCTAACCCCCACAAATGACTCCCAAGGCATCAGAACTGTTTTCGTTACAGGCCTTCACAACAAATTTGGAACCGTACTAGGTGAAATACTGACATCAATGTTTTCAGTTGCACGGGTGACTCACAGTCCTACTGCCAGCGGTCTTATTTGGACTTCAAACAGGTAATGAACTCAGAATTTCACAGCTCAAAATGTTCTTTCCATTGAATATTAATTAAAATTATTTTTTGTCAAAGCATTTGACTTTGCCGCCTTTTTACATGAGACTAAAGTCCTTCAGATTTTGTATGAATATGTTTATTTCTGTTTTCAAGTTTTCATTTTGCACTCTCAAGCAAGCAGGCCCTGGAGAGGGCAAAGTACCGGTACATTTACAGAAATTATCAAGGGATTTTTATAATTTTTATGAACAATTCAAGGGAGAAATGTATGTATGCTCATTTGCATTTGTCTTGTTATGGAGTCACTATTTCACACGCACAATCGCTAGAGCGAGAACCACTGCGTAAAGTAACACCCACGCGTACTCCGATCGTCTATACCGGTTCGACAATTTCTAGTTCACAGTGGTGTCACACTTCGGTACTCTACGGTGTTGGGTATCATCGCTTCAAACACACAGATGGCGATGCAGAAGGTGGAAATTTAAATGATGTTCATGTACAACACATTTTGGTAGGGTTTAGCTGGTGGCAGCTGGCCCATCAGGGTTGGGTCATATACCCCGACTCCACCATTTCACGCCCCTGTGATAGCAATTGGTGGAATCAAAGACAATCCGGTACTCTGACTAAGAAGGGGTTACACGTGTAAAAAAAACATCAAGGACTATCTGAGAGATGATAACAACCAGCTAGGGGTTTGGGGGAAAAAAGGAGTCTTGCTTGTCTGCAGTAATTGCCTCCCTCCCCCAAGAGAAAGTAGGGGGGGAGAGCCAAAGTGTTAACAGCCCTACCACCCTGACACGTATGACGATGACGGATCGGACACTGAAGATGTCAGAGGGTTCAACAGCTGCACAGCTTCACTTTCAGGAGGTGTCAGCTGTTGACACGTGACGAGCTCAGCCAAGGATGAATCATACCTGTGACTCTGACTGCCACAACACATGTAGGTACTGGTCCCGTACCAAAGCTACAGGCAATCTAACTTGAGGGGAACTCCTTAAAAAAGGGCAGACGAACCTCCAAAAGGATAGACTGCAGATCCCTGGTTTATGTGTAAGGCAAATGCTCTCTTTACACGGGTAGAGGATTACCAAAACCAGCTATTTGTTTACATTTGTTTGGTTACAGGGTACAGAAGTGAATACATCACATGCACAGTTATGTGTGTCAAGGGCATTAGCGAGAGAACCAGTCCGTGAACCAACACGCGCACGTACTCCATTCGTTTGCACTGCACTTTCTGATTCACAATGACCCCACACTTCGGTACACTATAACAACTTTATTTTTTACGCCACCTACATACTGACCAGCATGCTGACCAGCCTGCTGAACCAGCATGAAAGAACTCCACACAATGCCAAGTAATCATCAAATTATTTCCATTCAATTTACC